ACATTCCAACAAATACGTGTATGTATTCCTTTCAAAAATAACCACAGGGTAGTAAGGTATTATACACAGTGTTCTGTACCTTTCTGCATATCAATTTCTTTTTATATAACAAAGATTTAACAGTAACTTGGACAAGGTTACTAAAATAAAGTGTTTCTTCATTTCACTATGGTTTTTCATTTGCCAAATTAATGATAGCCTGCCATTACTGTGAAAAGTAAAGAAAGTGCCAGAGTACTAAAATATCTTTTTGCAGAAAAATCAGAAAAAGAGGCCCTGACTGGTGTGGTTGGTTGGACGTTGTTCCACAAAGCAAAAGGTCGCTGGTTGGACTCCTGGGCAGGGCACATGCCTGGGTTGTAGGTTTGGTCCACTTTGGGGTGTGCACCGAAGGCAACTGGTCGGTGTTTCTCTCCCTCTCTTTCTCCCTCCCTTCCCCTCTCTAAAAATAAATAAATAAAATATTTTTTTTAAAGAAGAAAAGAGCCCTGCTGGTGTGGCTCAGTGGATCAAGTGCCAGCATGAAAATGGAAAGGTCGCCTGTTTGACTCCCAGTCAGGGCACATGCCTGGTTCGGGGGTGGGGGGCTGGTGAGAGGCAACCAACCGATCCATGAATCTCTCCCACATCAGTGTTTCTCTCCCTCTCTCTCTCCTTCCCTTCCCTTCCCTCCTCTCTAAAAATAAATAAAATCTTTAATTTAAAAGAGGTCATTAATATTTTTTAAAAAGAAAAAAAAAGAAAAATTGTGAAAAAGACAATATTAAACCCTACCAAGGATGATGGATTGAAACTTTCTAAATTTTATAGATGGTGAAATAAAAATATACCCAATGACCTTCCTAAGTGATTTCAGGTTAAAAGACACAGACAAAAATCAAACCCCTTGGGCTGTTACCACTTGGAGTACTGCTTCAACTTTCCACATACACCAAATGCTCATGAACACCACCATTACAAGTTTAGCATGGCAGGACCAGACGCCACAGAGGTTATCCAAACAGGTGTGGGACATCCCTAAGTCTCTGTGCTGCCAGGATCTCAAGCTTCCAAGGACCATCTACTGTTGGGTTACTGCCACCCACGGGTTACCACCACTCCTTGGATCCAGTCTCTAGCCAGGCTATCAGGACCACCCACTGGAACCATTATATTATGTTCTGCCTCAGCTTTTCCAGGCAAAACAATTTCTAACCCCTTCTGGCAGATTTCATTTTTCAGCTTAATCATCTTTACGGGTGGTGTGGAAATTCATTTCCCAGTGCTAGCCTGTATTTGTGGAGACTTTTTGGTTAGAAAACTGGTTTAAGCCTTCACTCTTCTTTCCATTAACCAACTATTTGAAAGAAAGTGAGTCAATTTTTTTGAGATCTGTTTCTTCGACTATAATAAGAATGTTAAAATGAATGTAAGGTAACAATTTTTTATAAAATTGTGACTTAAGGCCTCTTACAGACGTTTAATTACAGGGAGAAAACATTTTTCTTTAACATTCTCCTTTTAGGAAAAAAGAGGTAAACTGCAAGAAAATAAGCTGAGCCCTGGCTGGTGTGGCTTAGTGGATTGAGGGCCGGCCTGCGAACCAAAGGGTTGCTGGTTCAATTCCCAATCAGGGCACAGGCCTGGTTTGTGGGCCAGGTCCCCAGTAGGGGATGGTGCAAGAGGCAACCACACATTGATGTTTCTCTCCTTCTCTCTCCATCCCCCTCTATCTAAAAAAATAAATAAATAAAATCTTAAAAGAAAAAAAAAAAGCTGACATAAGGAATTTGTTATGGATTTTTTTAAAAGGGAAGCAAAAGCATAAATTGGTAGTTACCGACCAGTCACCGAGATTTAAATTACAGCATTGGAAATATAGTCAATAAAACTGTAATAACTATGCATGGGGCAAGGTGGATACTTGAAATATTGGGGGGATCACTTTGCAAAGTATGTGACTGTCTAAACTGCTGTGCTGTACACCTGAAACTAATACAGATTAATGCAAACTGTAATTGAAAAAATATACTAAAAAATAAAAAGGGAAGCAAAATATACACAAGCAAAATGTCAAAACACATGCATACCCTAATTCCCCTAAGTGACTGACAGTACAAGCTCTGGAGTCCAATTCCAGTCTAATTTTCTAGATGCTAGTTTTCTACAAGAACTGATGTTTCAAATTACTGCCATAAAGAACTACAGGATCTTAAATCATTGAAGAAAATCTAACCATTTTTCTATGCTCCAGGTCATAATGCAAGGAAAGTGCCCTAATACATTTTAGAGAATTAAAAGGATGTTCTTGGCAATCAGGTAATTCAATTAACTGGAACCGTCACTGTGGTAGAGATTTTAGTGCTAAAGTACTTTAGATCTACTATTTACTGTAGACATACATAGACCAAGCACCATATGTACTAAAGCAACAAGTGCTTTACAAGCGTTTTCCTATTTAACTCTCACAACAATATCTATGAGAAAACCAGCTCAAGAGAGACTGGCAAGTAATGGAGCAGGAACCTCAACTAGGCCTGTCTATGAAGCCCACACTCTCAAATCCCTGACATACACCCAACTGGAAACAATCTGTCTGTGCAATAAGTTATTTGACACCTCCATCAACAGACTATATTTTTGTTCATATACAAACATAAACACACACATATAAACTCACACACCAAAATGTTTTTTCTCAAGTAACATTATAAATAAGAACACTCAAACTAACATTTTAGAAAGATAATTCAGTCTCAATCTAGAATTTTATTTAAAGCAAAATATATACAACTTCCTAAATAATCGTTCCATTAACTGTTAAATAGTTATGCTTCAAATATAATGTAGCTGAAGGACTTTTTATAAAATAATTCTTATATTCATTTAAGGCCATGTTAGCTTGTCCCAGAAAGACAAAACGATCATGTCCTCTGACATGACAAGATCTCTTACTCCTTCGCTCCCCAGCATATACTGTTCCTTCTACACAATGTTCTCTCTAGTTTGTCCAGCTAACAAACTTCAAGTCATCCTTCAAACTCCCTGCAAGTGTTTCTCCTGTAAACCACCCAACAGAGGCAGATGTGAGTGTTCCATCCTCCACAATGCCACTCTTCCCCTGCTCCATTGTGTATGGCTGCTGCTAAAACAAGACTGCAGTTATCTGTTTATACATCTCTTTTCCCTCAAGACTGAGAGCTGCTCAAGGACAGAAACCATGCATTTGCATGTCTATTTCCTTGTCCCTAATGCAGAGTCCAGCACAACACAGTTGGGTTCATTACTTAATAAACAACATAATTAATATAAACCAATTAATTAGAAACATGTTAAATCTCTCCAGAGACCACTAACATGTATTTTTCTACTTTAACCTATAGGCTATCCTTTAACTCTAACTTTCAGATAGGGAGGAAAGGAGCTTTTTTTGACCATTTCCATTTGACAAGTAAACATAACATACAAAGCACTGTGACGGGTAGTGTGTAGATTAAAAAATCCGGGTCCCCATCTCACTGGGGATCACAACAGAGTGGGGGAAAACAGACACATTTATAATTGTTCCAACATACTGTCCAGTACATACAATAAAAGAAGTATGAAGTGCTCTGGAAACTACAAAGTGGAAGAGCTAATTATGATAAAGAAAACAGAAGGGATTGACAGATAACATTTAAGCTGGGCCTTGATAAATGGATAGTACATTTATCAAGTACATTTATAAAAGTACACTCTTGGCGAGGAGACAAACGACATGAGCACAAATGTTCAAAAGTATAACAAATGCGTATTATACATTTAAAAACTTCCTACTATTACAGATAATGAGCATTCTGAAAGAAAATGTTGTGGGAAGTTCAATCACAAATATTGTAAAAGCCTCAAAGAAAACAAATGTATTGCATTATATTCTTCCTGTCTCTACTAAGCTAATTAAGTATTCTTGGGAACATCATCACAGCTGCCATCAGCGTATGTGGATATTTACTGATTGACAAAGGGGAGTATCAATCATGCGACCAATTAATGTCTTTCTCACATATCATCAATGTTCCTCTCCCTCCGTCCCTTCATCTCTTTAAAAAAAAAGGGGGGGGGAGTTCACTATTTCATACATTAACCACTGAGTAGGCTTGAGTTTTTCCTTTATTCTAGAAAAATTATAATGTAGTAGAAAAAATATATGAAATAACATCAGTAATAGCCATTGACACCTAGTCAATGCCACATACTCTAAAAGTGCTTTCATATGTATTTACTCATTCAATCCTCACAATGACTGCATGAGGTAGGCATGATTTTTAGCCCTCTTTTACAGATGAGGAAACTCGGTCACAGAAAGGTGAAATACCTTTCTGAGATGACAAAAGTAAATGGCAGAGCTAGATTCAGACCTTGCAGTCTGGCTCTAGAGTCTGGTCTCTTAACCAGTCTTTGTGTGTATAGACACACACACACACACACACACACACTCTCTCTCTCTCTCTCTCTTTAATATTAATTTAGATAACACTGTACACAAAATGTTGTGCATGCAAAATCCACACATTTCTTGTATTATGATACCAACTTAAATTTTTTTAATGTGGTAAAATATACATAACATCAAAATTACCATCTTAACCATTAAAAAAAATGTCAGCAGTCAATCCACTGAGCCACACCAGCCAGGGACCAAAGAGTTTTAATAATGTTCTAAAAATACATATTCTATGATAATAAGGTATTTTTAAGCAAATAATCTGAAAAAATAATTAAGAAACAATAGATAAAATATTTGGATCAATGAATTAAGAGAAATATATATCATGCTAAATGATTTTTATAAGGACTAATAAACGAAAAATTCATGTACAACCTTAAAATCAAGTTTCTTTATAGCAATTACATTTAATTAACACAAAGCCACAAAGTACAATTTTTAAAAAATGAAAGCCAAAATTAAACTTAAAACTATTAAACACATTATGAACAAACATCACACAATAAATCCTGAGAGTTTGGGGGAAAGTACTAACCAGTTACTGCCAGCAGCTGTGAAACTCTCACCTCCATTTCCTCCCGATGAGACCTGTCTCTATCTTCAAATTCACGTGTCCTTCTCCGAGCCTCTTCAAAGGCCTGTTGTGCTAACGCATCCTCCTGCTATCAGAAGAATACAAGAAATAGATATTTTAATTTTAATTTGTAATTTAAAAAAATCAAAATGGGGTGTTTTATTTTTGGAAGGAAATAACAGAATTCCTTAAACATCAAAACTATAAAAAGTTAATGTTAGAGCTACTTTAAAAAGAAAACTTCAGTATTTCTATGCTTTATACCGCATCTTGGAAATAGTTCAATTATATTCTAACAACTAAAAACATTCTTCGCTTTTCTTTCTGTACCTTATCCTATTCACCCCCATCCAAAAGGAAGAAAACAACATTGTGATCAAGTCAATAAAACTTCCAGACAATAAAAAGTAAATGTAATTCGAAGGCATATTATCAAGAAAATAATACTTCTAACATATGACAAATCTGCACTGCACAAGAGGAAATCCAGATACCTCAAGCTGACTGTGTCTAAAAAGGCAACCAATTTAACCTTTCCCCTTCTTCAGTCTCACTTGGTGGTACCACTCATTCAATTCTGCCAGAAACCAGAGCCACCTCTGAGTTTTCACTCTCCTGTCTCCACAGAGCCAACAACCAAGTACTACATCCATCAGACCTCCTACATATTTTTGAAATTTTTAGTCTCCTTTTTATCCCTACAAATGTTTTCCTAATTCAGACTCCTTTGATCTCTTACCTAAATCACTGCAACCATCTCCTAAAGTCTCTTCCTGCTTCCATATCCTGACCACAAAACCCTCCAACTTAAAAAAGTTCCCCATCGACAGCATAGGATGTTCAACCTTTGCGGTCATGCCCTCCTTAATACTAGGATTTTCTATGGTACAACTGGAGAAACTAAAAGATCAAAAACAATACCAAAAAAGTAATCAATATACACCTCCCTAGATTCACTGCAACAAGGGGTGATCAGGTAATTTAGTTCTTAATCAATAGGATAGAAGTATAAGTCAACCTAATAGGGCTTCTAAAAAGTCATTTGAGGGACATTTCACTTTTCCTCCTTCATGGGAAATGATGCAATGCCCACAGATAGAGCAGTCAGCTTGCAACATAATAATAAGGATGTAGCTGCACAATGAACATAGTAAAGCAAGAAGATAAAAGGACTAGAGGTCCTGATTATAATTAAGTATGATACTAGGTCTGGACCATGTACTGTTGGAGGTCTTGTTCTGTGTGATAAACCTTCTGTCACTGAGTAGAGTTTATTCTTACAAGTTTCACTGACACAATGTAACTTAAAATTAAAAGATATATCAAATTTCCATTCTTATGATGCATTTATGAGCTTTATCTCTCAGGGCAAGGTATTTCATTTCTCTAAGCCTCGGGAATACTTCGCAAGATCATTGTGAAGGTTAAATGAGATAACCTATTTAAAAAGTGCTTAAGCACACTACCTGACAGCATTTAACAAGTTCTAGCTATTTATTTTACATTCATGAATCTATAAAACTTACACATTTGACCAAACATAATTACACATACCTACTGTCGTCTCAGAAGGCACTATATAAGCCAGAAGTACCTGCAAAAGAATGCCGTTCCCAAGTCCCAAGGGATTTCTATTATTTAGCTAGGTGTCAACCAGTACACATCTGCTAACAGGATGAGCTTTCTGTCCTGTGTATTCACTCGTTCACTTAACATTTATTCCACAAGTATTTACTGAGTCATTATTGTGTCCAAGTCACCCTGCTAGGTGTCATGGATGCAATGCGAGCGAACAAATAGTACTTTTCCTCACAATTTCTGGCCCAGTGAGGCAGGTGGACAATGAACAAATAATTACAAAAATCAATATGTAATTATCAGCTGTGATTTAGTCCAGTAGAGGGAAATTACTTGATGAAATGAGAGCATAAAACATGAGATGTGACCTAGTTCCCTAAGGAAATTATTAGCCACTAATGTGTAATTCTAGCAATGGTCACAGATTTTTATTCATTAAAAGAAAAAAAAAGTACGATTATTAATAGTTGTAGTAAAATAAGAGAGATTTGGTAGCCCTCTACTTTCTAATTCCACCTTCTATCTTGGTTTCTTCTAGTGATCTGTGAAATGTACGTGCAGTAAACAGTTTGCACTTTAATAAACTGTTAAATCTGAAGGATGTTCCTTGATTACCAGTGTTATTCTGAGCCTTTCTTCTTGGAACCTGAAGTAACACTTCCCTTTCAAGGACAACACAAAAGGCACTTGCTGATAAAACTACACTCTTACCCAATAAAAATATGCTCAGATGGCCTTGAACGAATAACTCTTCTAGTCTCAAGTGGTAGTGGGAGAAGTTTTCAACACTCCACTGCCCACCAGCTACATGTTCTGTATTAGTCTGTTACTCCATGGTCTATACTGTGACCTGTACAAAGTAGTCAGGTGGGGACATCACAAAAGGTGGCTGGGTGAATTTGAAACCTATGTGGGAAATAAAAGTCCTCAGTGCTTGCATATAGTATATATAGAATGTTCTGACCATGCCTTTTTTTTTTTAACTGAAATGCATTATACAATAAGGTTTTGTTTTTTAGATTTTATTTATTTATTTTTAGACAGGGAAAGGAGGGAGAAAGAGAGAGAGAGAAACATCAATGTGCGGTTGCTGGGGGCTGTGGCCTGCAACCCAAGCATGTGCCCTGACTGGGAATGGAACCTGCGATGCTTTGGTTAGCAGCCCGCACTCAATCCATTGAGCTACGCCAGCCAGCACCCCCGCTCCTTTTTTAAGATTTTATTTGTTTATTTTTAAAGAGAGGAAGGGAGGGAGAAAAAGAGGGAGAGAAACATCAATGTGTGAGGGAAACATTGATCGGTTGCCTCTTGATTGAACGTCCCCTACTGGGGATCCAGCCCACCCAGCATGTGCTCTGACTGGGAATTGAACTGGTAACCTTTTGGTTCACAAGCCAGTGCTCAATCCACTGAGCCACACCAGCCAGGGAAAGACTATTCTGACCATTCTTGCTGCAGTAATACTGCTTTTTTTGTATTGCATAAATCTATAATTATATTTATTTTACAGTTTGGTAATAATTATCTTTCTGCAGCAGTGAATTTTAAAAATGGAAGTGCATTTTTAATTAAAAATTAAGAATCAAATTCATTTTCAAGAATGGTGAATGTGTAATTTTCATGAAATGATGACATGTAATAAGCTCTGGACCGAAATTATGACTGATTCACATCTCCTGGAGATCAAAAGAAATCTGCTGAAGAAGCATCAACATACACTTCAAAGGCGACAATTTAACATGTGCTGCTACAAACGATGCATTTAACATTTCCCTGTAGAACTTTTTTTTTTTTTTACAGATTTTATTTATTTTTAGAGAGAGGAAGTGAGGGAGAAAGAGAGGAAGAGAAACATCAACGTGTGGTTGCCTCTCACACACCCCCCAACTGGGGACCTGGCCTGCAACCCAGGCATGTGCCCTGACTGGGAATTGAACCAGTGACCTTTCGGTCTGCAGGCCGGTGCTCAGTCCACTGAGCCACAGAAGCCAGGGCAAATTTAACTTCTTTTAAAGATAATGGCTCTTCTAAATTAATTTTACTCACATTCTCAAGCACATACAAAAAGCAATGCTGTTCATATATTAACTTCAGTAATAGAAAAAATTTGCAAAAAAAATGAAGGACATCAGTTTTACATCAGTGTCATCAAGTACTTCAAATACAAAACCTGTAAATTCCAACAGTAGTTCAATTTTTCTAACCTGATCATAGAATCAAAATACAGGCATGCCTCATTAATTCTGCTTCACTTTATTGTGTTTTTTATAAATTGAAGGTTTGTGGCAGCCCTGTCACAAAAGATTACAACTCACTAAAGGCTCAGATAATGGTTAGCATTTTTTAAGCAATAAAATATTTTATTTTATTTTAATTTTAATTTATTTACTTTTAGAGAGAGGGGAACGGAGGCAGAAAGAGAGGGAGAGACATCAATTGTGAGAGGTACATGGATTGGTTTCCTCTCGCATGTCCCCAACTGGAGAGCTGGCCCGCCACCAGGCATGTGCCCTGACTGGAAATCAAACCAGCAACCTTTAGGTTCACAGGCTGGCACTCAATCCACTGAGCCATACCAGCCAGGGCCTTTTGAAACAATCAAGTTTAAAATTAAGCTATGTATGGCCCTGGCTGGCGTAGCTCAGTGGATGGAGCGCGGGCTGGGAACCAAAGTGTCCCAGGTTCGATTCCCAGCCAGGGTACATTCCTGGGTTGCAGGCCATAACCCCCAGCAACCACACATTGATGTTTCTCTCTCTCTCTATCTCCCTCCCTTCCCTCTCTAAAAAATAAATAAATAAAATATTAAAAAAAAAAATTAAGCTATGTATAATGTTCTTTAGACATAATACTATTGCACAGTGAAGTACTAGAGTATAGTGTAAACATAACTTTTATATGCACTAGGAATTTAAAAATTGGTGTGACTTGCTTTATTCTAGTAGTTGCTTTATTCCAGTGGCCTGGAACCAAACCTGCAATATCTTCAAGGTATGCCTGTAAAACTTTGGAAGGGTCATTAAATTAAAAGTAAAATGTCTTTCTGTGACTGCCAAAGTAAATTAATTAAGGGAGTATTACAATAAAGATAAGGTTATTGGCTTTTATAGTGGCAACACAAACACAAATGCTGGCGGAGCATACATTTGGTAAAAAAAATATCATTCTCAGTGAATTTTAAAACCTATGAAATAAAAATTTAGTAGGATATGTGGTACACACATAATTCATAAGTGTTATCCAACTCAGAAGTTATAGTTGCATAAATTACAAATATAAATATTCATGTACCCACAGTTAAAGTAACCAAATTATAAAATTTTTGTGACATTAATGCTGAATACTATGAAATCAACCTAGTTTCTATATTGACAATGACTTTTCTTTTTAAAGATTTTAAAAAAGATTTTTATTTATTTATTTTTAGAGAGGGAAGGGAGAAAGAGAGAAAGAGAAAAACATCAATGTGCGGTTGCTGGGGGCCATAGCCTACAACCCAGGCATGTGCCCTGACTGGGAATCGAACCTGTGATGCTTTGGTTTGCAGCCTGCGTTCAATCCACTGAGCTAAGCCAGTCAGGGCTACAATGACTTTTCTTTTGTAAATTATTTCACATTGTTCAAAGTTAGTTGGGCCCTGGCTGATGTGGTTCAGTGGATTGAATACCAGCCTGCAAACTGTTGGTTCCACTCTCAGGCAGGGCACATGCCTTGGTTGCAGGCCAGGTCCCTAGTTGGGGGTGCAAGACAGGCAACCACACATTGATGTTTCTCTCCCTCTCTTTCTCCCCCCCTTTCCTTGTCTCTAAAAAATAAATAAATAAAATGTAAAAACAAAACAAAAAAAATACTCGGAATACTTGGAATACTCTGATTCAAGCATTAAATGGTGAAGTGCCAAAATTTTCAGTTTTTCAAGTTTTTAGATAATTGTAATTACTGAAAACTATCCCCATAGGTTACAGAAAATAAGTTAAGAGATGAAAATATAATCAGTAAATGTGATTTACTGTATTTTTTAGTTCATATCATTGTACTCAGAAATATCTTCATCTGTGGGAAACTTTTAAAATATTTTATTGAAGTGTATTATTTAGTCATACTTTGCATAACATAGGGGATATGGTTCTGAGAATCATGTTGGGCTGTTCTGTTGTATGAACATTATAGAGTGGTACATTTACACAAATCTGGATGGTGTAGGCTACTACACACCTAGGCTACATGGAATAGCCCACTCCTCCTGGACTACAAACCTATACAGCATGTTACTGTACTGAATACTGTACAACTGTAACACAATGGTAAGTACTGTGTATCTAAACATAGAAAAGGTACCGTAAAAATGCTCTATAAAAAACAAAAATGGTACACGTGTATAGGGCACTTACTGTAAGTGGAGCCTGCAGGACTGGAAGTTGCTCTGGGTGAGTCAGTGAGTAGGGATGAGTGAATGTGAAGGCCTCGGCCATTACTGTACACTACTGTAGACTTTATAAACACTGTACACTTACGTACACTAAATTTATAAAAGTGTTTTTCTTTTTTCAGTTATAAATTAAACTTAGCTTATTGTAACATTTTTACTTTGTAAATTTTTTTATTAATAACACATCTTAAAACACAAACATGTACAGTTATACAAAACTATTTTCTTTATATCCTCATTCTATAAGCTTTTTTCATTTTACATTTATTTATTTTTTACTTACCAAACTTCTCCTTGTTAAAAACTATGGCATAAACACACACACCGTAATGCCTAGCCCTAACACAGGATTAGGATTATCGACAGCCTTCTACCTTCCTATCTCATCCCACTGGAAGGTCTTCAGGAGCAATAACTTGCTTGGAGCTGTTATCTCCTATGATACCAGTATCTCCTTCTGGTAAATCTCCTGAAGGATGAGCCTAAGGCTCCTCTTAAGCAAATGCTGCTCTTTTCGGAAACCTGTCCATAGTAGTTTGCTAGAGTTCCCCACCCCCCCATCATAGATTTGCTTGTAGGCAGATGATAATGAACTAGGAACATTCCTCTCTATTAAAGAAAACCTTTCCATGTTGGGGTCCATGTTTTCAAACTTTTTTAAAAAAGATTTTATTTTCACAGAGAGGGGAAAGGAAAGAGAAAGAGGGAAAGAAACATCAATGTGTGGTTGCCTCTCACACACCCCCAACTGGGGACCTGGCCTGCAACCCAGGCATGTGCCCTGAGACTGGGAATCGGTTGACATGCCGGCGACCTCCCGGTTCACAGGCCAGCACTCAATCCATTGAGCCACACCAGTCAGGGCCACACAATTTAATTTTTTTAATGGAATTGTATCTTCTGTTTATATCTTAGCTTACCTGGTACCTCAGTATCTGTTAGAGACTTTTGTCCTTATATGGCAGAGACAGAATTATTAAGATCTCTTAACACGAGGGCCCTTCCTGACTTTAACCTTAAATTACTTCCATAAAGTCCTATCTCCAAACATAGTCACATTGGGTGTTGGAACTTCAAGGTATGAGTTTTGGGGGAACACTACATGCAGTCTATAACAGCTGTAAGTGGTGGGGCCAGGATTCACAATTATATGACTATGAAGCTCCTTCCCTTAATTTCTATATTCACTGCCTCTTTACATATGATTTTGGAATGGGGAAAGCCACAGAGAAATTCTGACTGCTGACTGGATGGTTGGGATTCCCTGCTTTGAAATTTTTTAATTATGTAAAACCTATTATTATAGTGATAAAGCTCAATTTGTGCACTGGGGCAACAAGGCTTAAAAAATTCTAAGTATGGAAAATGTTGTAGGTTAAGCTAATTTTTTACCTATCATTCTAATAAAATATTTCAGTTTTAGAAGTCATCCTAATCAGAAACTTTTCTGACTGTAAGTTCAACCTGTTGCATCACTGTTTTTTGTTTGTTTAGTGACTTGCCTGGACTAATTCTGTACTGTAAAATCTTGTTTCCCCAGCAGCATGCTGCTTCTGAAGTCACCTCTTAGTATTTTTTTTTTAAGCCTTGCTTTCTGAGGGTTGCCCCTGGTCAGCCAATGACTGGTCAGAGGTTTTGCTTAAACACTTGTAGCCACTAGACTTCGATCCTTTGTCATTGGATCTCTGTGTGGCTTGGAGGAATCTTGTCAAGGTGCAGGGAACTTATCAGTCTACCTTTATTTAGCCAGGAATTACCATCTTGCAAAGGCCCTCTTCGTTCTCTCCTGAACACATGTGGCTTTGTGCATGCACACAGCCTTCTAGACCTTGAGGGGTGAGTATCATCTTAGGAGGACCCACTTTAGCTATCTCTTTCCCTAGATCTCCCTGATAAATTTCTGGCTAGTCTGCCATTTTGCTGCTTCCTGCAAAACTAGCTTTCCTGGACTGTTTGCCAGAGACCTCTACTGTTCTTGAGAACGTCCCCGGGCGTGAATTTTTCCAAGCACTGTTCTAAACAAAGTCAGCTCCTCCTCATAACAGAAGAGAGCTGCTGGCTCTCATGGCTTGCCCTGCCTGCCAAGGGTAGAACTCGAGGGACCAGAGAGTTGAGGGAGAAGATGGGAGCAGCTTCTGACTAAAACGACAGACTACTACTGTTGTTACTGAAATTCAGTAGCTGCTGCTTCTCCTTTTTTTTTTTTAAGATTTTATTTATTTATTTTTAGAGAGGAGAAGGGAGAGAGAAAGAGAGAGAGAAATATCAATGTGTGGTTGCCTCTCACATGGCCCCCACTGGGGACCTGGCCCGCAACCCAGGCATGTGCCCTGACTGGGAATCAAACCAGCGACCCTTTGGTTTGCAGTCTGTGCTCAATCCACTGAGCTACCCCAGCCAGGCAGCTTCTTTTGAATAAATGCCTCTCAATTGATGTCCTTTGGTTAATGTCCAGAGACCTTAAATGGCTTTTGTGTTATTATTTTTTTTACAACTTTGTCCAGATTAATTATTGCTTTTGGGGGAGAGGATGTGCCAAGCTCCTCACTCTGCCATTTCAAAAGTACTGCTCCTACATTTTATTTTGAACTGTTTTTTTCTTTTTTATAATGCTCTAAAGATCTAGAACAAATATTAAACAGAACCATTTACTGAACTTTGAAGTGGCCCACTGAGCAGATAAAGGTAATCAAATGAAATTTAGAACCACTGAGGAAAAAAACTTACCTAAAACCAGGACCAGAATCTGGGTTTCGACATCTTTAGAATTCTCCGACATTACTTGCACACGAGACTTTCTATACTTACTGTTAAAGACTGGGGAAAACAGATCCCTAGGCAAAGGCAGTATTAGGGATAAATAGAGGGACCACACTCTTAAGCCTGAAGTCGCCCTACCTGGGCTCGTTCCTCATCAAATTCCAGGCAGCCCATACCATCCAATCTCTGGAGATCAATCCAGCCTTTCCAGATAACACAAACTCCATTCAGAATCATGGGAGCCTTCAAATACACCTAAGACACAGAAAAGAAGGATGAAAACCAATAAGCCATCAGACACATGAAAAACAAAGGACCAAGTTATTTATGAAAACTGTGGTTTTCTTAGGAAATAAAAAATAAATAAATAAAATGATTATAAAATTAAGAATTACAGGAAAGTATATAAACTACAGCCTCTGACCATAATCTATAAATTAAATTAACCTGGTTTGCCAGGATTTTATTTCTAGTTACAATTCTTTCAGGTTATTTTTTAAAAAGAAGTTTTACAGATTTTGTAAAAACTATAGTAAGATAACTTGAAGAAGGCATCATTGCTCTTCCTTCAGCTGAAGCTAGGAAAATCAGGTACTTTGATTTTTGAATCTTGAGTAAAAAGATATAAAGATGGAGAACAGCTGTAATTCACTAGTCCCTGAAAAAAGCACGCAGTGCTTCCCTGCTTGGATCCCTCAAGCACCCAGGGTCAAGCTCTTTTACACACTTCCCTTCAGTTGTATAAGCAGCCTCATAGCTTCCTGATGAGCAATGCCCCTTGCTTGCTTTATTTATTTTTATTTGAATTTATTAAGGCAACATTGGTTAATAAAACTGTAAGGTTTCAAGTGTATAATTCTATAATATATCATCTGTATATTGTATTGTGTGTTTACCATCCCAAGTCAAGTAATGACGCTTTTCTTTTAAACTTAAATTAGCCAGAGCTGATTTCTCCTGCTTCTAACCAAACAGCCTGAACTGATGTAACATTTATTTATTTACCATTCTTTTTCAAGTCAATAAATAACCCTAGAGCAAAAGTCACTTTAGGTATGATGACCAAATTTAGATCGCTTCTACTTTCAGTCACCAAATTCTCATATTTCCTGAAACAATCATTATTCTCAAGAGCATTTAAGGACCCATCAAGAAAGAAAAGGTTCTAATGCTATAACCTTGAGGTGAAGATTTTACTGTGATGCAGTAAAAAATATTAAGAAAAAATTAGTACAGTGCCTACAATCTCCCCAACCATAATACCATACTATTCTATGAGTTACTTTAAAACTTTCTATTTTAGGTTACAAACACATTATTTTAGGTGTTTGATACCTCATTTATCATGGGCTTCTAAACAAAAGTCAGCACAGATTTTTAAAATTTTGTGGGCTTTTTTTTTACTTTTTAAAAAAAGATTTTATTTATTTATTTTTAGAGAGAGGAGAAGTGAAGGAGAAAGAAAGGGAGAGAAACATCAATGTGTGGTTACCTCTCACACGCCCCCAACAGAGGAACTGATCCACAACCCAGGCATGTGCCCTGACTGGGAATTGAACCAGTGACCCTTTGGCTTGCAGGAGAGCAGTCAATCCACTGAGCCACACCAGCTGGGGCAGGTTTTTGTTTTTTTTTTAATCATTAACTGTTTTATCATGATTTTTAAAGTCCTACAGCAGGACTTTAATAAGTTTTTAATATCCAGGTTACCAAATGTATCTTTATAAATAAGGTTCTTAGCCCTGGCTGGCGTAGCTCAGTGGATTGAGCTCGGGCTGCGAACCAAAGTGTCGCAGGTTCGATTCCCAGTCAGGGTACATGCCTGGGTTGCAGGCCTTGACCCCCACAACCGCACATTGATGTTTCTCTGTTTCTCTCTCTCTCTCTTTCTCCCTCCCTTCCCTCTCTAAAAATAAATAAATAAAATCTTTAAAATAAATAAATAAATAAATAAGGTTCTTTATTTGCCCATAACAAATATATTTTCTGTGAATGTCAATGCTTTTGTGAGCTAAAATTTGTGTTATTTATCACCTTTAATTATATAAAATCAGTAAGACAACTTCTCATTATGAGGAAAAAGCTGGAAACACCAACTTCGTTACTCAATTTCCTCAACAAAAAATCTTTGGGCATTCTTGTTTTCAGAGAGGTTTAATAAGAATAATTGACTATTAAAAATTATAAACATGGTAGAAAAGTTTCAAAACAGCTGTAAAGTAAGACCTATAAGATTTGCTCTTTTTCAATACATTATTTATGTCATTCCCCTCCACTACTAAACACAACCCTTTTTACTATTAAGGACTCCAATCAACCACTCTGGACTAATTTCTACTCACATTTAAAAACAAGCCAAAAACATGAAGTTCCATGTCTCCTCCCATTTGGACCAAGGGAAACAGTCTACAGTTATAGCTAAAACCGTTTAACCACACATTTCCTTCTGTTCTGATAAGTGCTCATTCCCTTCCACATTGTAAATTTAAAACTCCACTGACGTACACCTAAGTGAAGCAAGTGACTATGAACTCATTATTTGACACTCACAAAACCTAAAAATGTGCCCATCTATATACTGCCTATCATCAATATGCTGTGATTTACCACATCTTCTAATCAAGATTTCACCTACTCTTTCTAATGGGGAATGGGGAGAGTGCAACACAGTAAGGAGTGTAACATTTCACCCATCAGTGTGCTTCATTATTTTAAATTATCATACTAATCATGAAGCGCATTCTTCTAATGGCAGAGAAAGGTCAACTTCATGTCAGATTCTACATTCATCAATAAGTTTATTATCTTTTAGAATCAAAGATTCCATAGGTGTAGTTTATTCATATTAACTTCATAGCCAAAAATATTTTCCTTAAGAAATTACTAGATTTTTAAAAAGCCCATTTATTACTTTTTTTGGGGGAGGGGTGTCAAATGATCTTTAATTGAAATACTTTCCTTTGTAGTTCTCAGTATATGTGCTACCAAAGCAAGCACTACCATGTAGTTCTTCACTAGCTGGGCATTCCACTACACCACTGTCGATGCCATCAACATGGCAGCCCACAGACTGGGCAGTCCCTAAGATCTCTTTAATGGTTCTAGAGAGTTCCCTAGCTAAAGATTGGTGCTGCATCTGTTGGGCAATGTTGATAAACTCATCAAAAGTGGTAATTTCCACTCTTCTTAATGTCTTTTGCTTCTTTCTGTCTCTCTGAGGGCTTTGATGATCAGGGCAGAGGCAGAAGGTATGATGTGAGCCTGTCTGTTCTGAATGGTCAGTTTCACTGTAATCCTCAGATTTTTCCAAACACAAGTTGCTATGGTGATAGCATCACCAACTTTTTTCAGAGACAGACCCAGGGGGCAGATCTTGGGGGCCAGGGCAGATATCACACTAAGTCCCCCACCAGTTGACCCCATGTACACAACTTTGATCTCACTGGAGTCGAGCTTTGGCAGCATGGTGGAGGCAGCTGGTGTTGGATGAACCCAGATTCGGGACAACAGAAAAAAAATGCACCTAAGCCTCCTCCGAGCCAAAAGTCATTACTTCTTAAAAAAATTTATATATAAATATATTTTTATTGATTATGCTATTACAGTTGTCCCAATTTTTCCCCTTTTGCTCCCCTCTACCCACTGACCCCCCTTCCCTCCATCAATACCCCCACCGTAGTTCATGTCCATGGGTCATGCATATAAATTTCTTGGCTTCTCCATTTCCTATACTGTTCTTAACCTCCCCCATCTATTGTATGCCTACCAATTATGCTTCCTAGTCCCTGCACCTTTTCCTCCATTCTCTCCCTTCTCCCTCCCTGCTAACGCTCCAACTGATCTCATTATCTATGATTCTGTTCCTGTTCTGCTTGTTTGCTTAGTTTTTTAGATTCAGTTGTTGATAGTTGTGAATTTGTTGACATTTTAATGTTCATAGTTTTGATCTTCTTCTTTTTCTTATATAATTCCCTTTAACGTTTCATATAATAATGGCTCGGTGATGATGAACTCCTTTAGCTTTAACTTGTCTGAGAAGCACTTTATCTGCCCTTCCATTGTAAATGACAGCTTTGCTGGATAGAGTAATCTAGGTTGTAGGTCCTTGCTTCTTCTCATCACTTGGAATATTTCTGGCTAGTTCCTTCTTGCCTGCAAAGTTTCTTTTGAGAAATCAGCTGACAGTCTTACAGGAACTTCTTTGTAGGTAACTCTCTGCTTTTCCCTTATTGCTTTTAAGATTCTTTCTTCATTTTTAACCTTTGGCATTTTCAATTATGATGTATCTTAGTGTGGTCCTCATTGGGTCCAACTTGTTTTGGACTCTGTGCTTCCTGGACTTGTATGTCTATTTCCTTGGCCAAATTAGGGAAGTTTTCTTTCACTATTTTTTTCAACTACATTTTCAATCTCTTGCTCTTCCTCTTCTCCTCTGGCATCCCCATGATTCGGATGTTGGTATGTTTGGAGATGTCCCAGAGGGTCCCTATACTATCCTTGTTTTTTTTTTTTAATTCTTTTTCCTTCTTGCTGTTCTGGTTGAACGCTTACTTCTTATGTTCCAAATCATTTATTCGAATCCTGGCTTCCTCCCCTCCACTGATGGTTCCCTATAGATTTTTCTTTTTTCACTTAGTGTAGCCTTCATTTCTTCTTTTATGTTGTTGCCATACCTAATAAGTTCTTTGAGCATCCTGATCACCAGTGTTTTGAACTTTACCTCTTATATGTTGGTTATCTCTGTTTTCATTTAGTTCTTTTTCTGGTGTTTTGTTCTGTTCTTTCATTCAGGCCATATTTCTTTGTCTCAACTTTGGCAGCCTCCCTATCTTAGTAGCATGACCTATTGTAGAAAAGGCACCTGTAAATTGTGTGGGGCAGAGCCTTAGGTAATTGCCAGGGCGGGGCAACAGACTTCTATGCTATGTGGATCTGTGTAGGAGGAGGGCTTGGAGAGGGACAATGCTGCTGCTGGAGAGGGACAATGCTGCTGCCTGGCCTCTGGAGGTTTACCTGGCACTCAACCCGTTTCCAGGCACTTTATCTACTTCCTATATGCAACTGGCACCCCCTTCTAGCTGCTGCCCTAGTGGTGAATCCCAAAGTGGGTGGGTTTGTGTATGTTCTAAATCCATGTGGGTCCTTTACGTTGAAAAATCCAGCAGTTTCTTCCACTGCCCCAACCCCCACTAGTTTTTACAGCCAGAAGCTATGGTAATTTATTTTCCTGGCACTGGAACCCTGGGCTGTGTGGT